AAAAACCTACAACTCTACAAGTCAAACATGAAAAAATCCAAGTTGGCACCCATACGAAAAAACAAAGTTGTTAATGGTTGTCGAGAACCCTTAAGTCGAATTTTAACCCATCATCGGCACGTTGTGGAATATTAAAGTTGCAATGATGAATAAACATTTTTCTCATTTAGGATTTTTCCGGATATCCGTAAACTCTAGATTGCGCAACTTTGCCCCAATTTAACCAATCTGGTTACCGAGATCCCCATGGTTCCGCTCTAAAAATGGACACTATATTTTAATACAAATATAAAACAAGTACGTTCTCCTAAATGGCAACTTGGTAACTACACTCGAAAGCATATAAAAAAACGCAAAAAATAATATACGGTATAAATTACAATAATGATAATAAGTCAAAAGCTGATATTTATTTATTTTTTTAATTCTCATCTAATTCTAGCCATTGTTCAACGCTTGAATTTCAAAAAAATGGAATTTTGCTCTGCAATTGGAAAATCTCAGCAATTTTAATTCTACTTAATTATTATTATTGTGCATTATAGTGTGCAGTTTTAAAACTATCATTTTGCTTGTTTAAAAATTCTAAAAACAAACATCAAAGTAAATGTAATATTTTGCAAAACCATTGAAAAAAACCAATGCAAACGCAACGTGGAGATATGGCTTAACATTTTAATTAAGCATAGTATTCTTGGGCACGTAACAGGTTTCCACTAGATATGTGATCTAGTAATGATGTCATTATATGTAAATGCAGCTTATTTAACTACTTGTATTTGTATGTTGTTTTACTCTCAACAAGAACGACGATTGATTAGAATCGACCGTTTGACTTTTCTGTTATCATGAATGCCGATTAACACTTTGAGATTTATTGATCACATAGTCGCATATTTGCTCCTCGTATATTAGTAATATGCAATATGCGCAACCTCAATGTGTTCCCTAAATGTAAAGATAAAGGAAAAATAAATTATACGATTTTCATGACCGAGCAATATCAAAAGCGGAAAGATGTAAAAATGATTATTATTAATTTTAATCAAATATAAGAGCTTTAAATGAATTTTTAAAATACAGAGCGAATAAATGTTTCTCGTTTGGTTATTTGATTCCTTCTTAATTTAACATTGAAATTATCTCCAAAACTCCAAAAAAAAAATAGAAAATCGAATAGAATCCGCATGTCACAAAACATCAACCGTTCATTGAATTCCTGAATTATTCTTATTTTGTGGCATATTATTTTAATTAACGAGTAAAAAACATGTATTTGAAAATAACAATAAATTGTTATTTTTCAAATACTTAAACAACTTCCTCTTTTGTTTTGAACTGTCAGGGTGAGGGTCGTCTCAAGTTTTACATATGTTCATTTCAATTACAGTAATTCAGAGCTCTTCTGACATCACTACCAAAGAAAATCAATGACTAAGTTTTATTGTAGTGAGAAATTTAATTATTGCCACGAGCAAATTGTGAAGGATTATTTTAAGAGAGGACTTACTTTCAGATAATCAGAGAATTAATTTAACGATATAAGATAAAGAAATGATCCAAGAAGACAAGAATATATTAAAAGTAACGTGGTCAAATGACATAAAAAGTGGGATATGGATCGAACTAACAAAAAACAACTAATTTACTAGCAAGATCCAAGATTACGAATCAGATAAAACGATAAGGACGATCATATTAAATCATTGGTAAAAACACTGTGTTCCACTACCGTGTCGAAGAATAACGCTGACATATTCCTTTGAAAAAAATAAAATGTTTTATTTGAACAAAAGAAATAACCTTCGTTGCCTTAATCTGTAATGACAGAACTGAGAACTTTATTACATAAGAGCATTGTTTAATTTAAAGTAAATGACGCTACATAATCACTCAAATTTAACATTATTATTAATAAACGGAGGAAGATGAATAAAAATAGCAATAGCGTCATTTCTCTTATTGTGCTAAACCAAAAAGGAACATCTGAATAAACGTTAATGATTAGCGTATCCATTTTCATAAAAGTAACTGCAAACTTCGATTTGTTGAAATGATACAAGAGGTTAAATGATGATATATTTCAGTCTGTATTTGCTTTTCGGCTTAGATCTATTACTGCTAAAAGCAAAAAGTGGGTTTTTCAAAAATTACCTGACGACCTAGTGGGGTATATTTAATTAGCAGGTGGTTAACACAAATCTAAAATTTAACAGACAATGAAAGGTTCATTGGTAAATATTTGGGCCATTAAACAAAAAAAAAACATTAGCTGAGATGATAATTCATCAAGAACCCACAGTCAGCTAAATATTTCCGTTGGCGCTCAAACTACCTACTTACTCCAAGTCCAGCAACTATAACACTGGAAAGAGTTGTTTTTTTACCTACCCGAAACAACTCACAGTTTTTCCGCAATTACGAACAAAGAAGAGTTATTTGAAATTTTATCATATAACCGGAAATTCAAATGTCATTCAATGGAGACAACACACACAACACCCTGCACTTTATCCGATGATTTAGAACTAACGGCCTTTTCAAATCGGAGACAGAAAAATATCGTGCATTAAAAAAGGACGAAAATAACCCGGTTAATAAAAAGAAAAAAGAGAGGTCGATTCACCTATAAACCGGCTGCTAACGATAAATACCCTTATGTATACTGCAGCAGGAAGGCGAGCACTAGGAAGCGGATGTCCATGAATTCTATAGATCAGTAAAGTGGATTAAATCTTACAAAGGAAAATATTTGTTAAAATTGCATGAAAAGCACATTTTAAGAGATAATTTATTTGAAACTTTTCTATTCCGAAAAACACTCATGCAGTGTGTTGTGTAAATATAAAGAAGTATTTAAAGTATACCAAATGCTATTGCTGTTCATATGTAACCGCGTTACAACCCCCGTAATGTGAGTTAAATCGCTTGTACATAACACCGAAGTCATTTATTTACCTTCCCTCCTTAGAACCATTGCACACTGATTAATTGCTTAAATGAAAACATTAATTTAAATCGAATGCGGCATTTATATTTGTACCCGTTTTTTAGGGTTTTGGCAGTATCTTCCAAACCATTGACTAAAATCCGTGTTGGCAAATTGATTTAAAAAGTACCTTCATACGTAAAAATGTACGTATGAAGGAAGAGGTGATTGAAAATCAAGGAAAATGTAGCTCCATTTCCCACACTTAAACGTTACTACTAACCAAATATAATTACGATGAAACGATTACAAAAATAAATTCCTTGGAAAAAAGCGACAAAAATAATAAAGTTCATTGAGAAATGAATAACAGCAGTTTAACTGATTACTTTTAATTCCAAAGGTATTTATGGTGTACCTCAGCCCATTAAGCAAATTATAAAGATTTCAGTAAACATAAACGGAAATTTTTTGTTTTGATTGCGTTGTTGTAAAAAACTATTATTCATTTATATAAAATAATATTAATTAACTTACCTAGATAAAAAAAACTAATCAACATTCCTAAGAATTGTGAAACAACCCATATATTTAAAAGCACTAAAACAAAAGCGCAACCACCTCCCAATATAGTCGAATTTGACGGGACTATAATATATAAGAGCACAAAGAATTAGTCCCCTATCTTTGCCATATCGAATGAAGAATAAGTAACCCCGTATAAGAAACTTGCCCAAATAGGGTGAATGCCCTTCAATATTAATAGTTCTTACGTTGGAAACGCTTAGGTTTCTCCTTAAGAATGACTTTGCAACTATTTTTGCTCAACAACATACAGAGCGTTCCACGCAGCTTTTATACGTTAATGCTGAAAAGCAAAAGCGTCTGTTTTTTATGAATATTTCGCTAGCGTTCGTTTCATTTAACGACAAACAACGATCCACTTTTCAGTTCAATTGATAGTTTCGTTTTATGGTTGTCTATGAAAATGAATGTAGCATCTCTCAAGGAACTTGTAATAAAAACTAAACCGACAAGATATTTTGATGGATTTCGCACCTCATTAAGCATGGTATTAGTGAAACAGCGAAATGTATTCAGATACGTACCTATGTGGTAATTAACCAATCCTCTTGTCAAGGAGCTTAAAATAAAGTAAAAGTATACACGAAAGCCCAAAGCTACATGGCAACACTTTGTACTACCTGTATGTTAGAGGTTCAATAAGCTGGTTTATTAATTATCTATCATGGTGATAATGGAATATTTTCTGCGCATATTTTGTAGTTTATTTATAGCTGTTTTCATCTCACATTTAAATTATCACTTCTCAGCTCGCCAAACTAAATTAGGCTTTCAAGTTGACTATCGAATTTTGAAACTGTGCATTTGAAACAACCTTTCAGATATATTGGATAAATGTCCGTTAAAATACTGAATATTTTAGTGAATTCCTGCATCCGGTACATAGTTTATATTCTTTTATTCAACAATCTAAAGCTTTAAGTGCAATTAAAGTCCCGTGGCTCTCATACTCTCTGTTAATATTATGTATAAGATAATTAAATGAAATTAAAAGTATATTCTAAGTAGCATTTAGGATTACTCTCTGCCTTTTGCAGAATTATGATCTAAAGATATTTGAAACATTCTCATCTTAACCTGGATATATTTTATCAATGACAAGGAATGTAAAATACTAAACTGAAGGATTTATTTTGGAATTATACTGGACTGACACATTAACATTTGCACTATTTTTTATGTTCCCCTTGATACAAGTTACGACAAATTTTGGATTGAAGGTGCATCACAGTGACTTAAATACATAATTAAAGTTTCATATATCAATAGCAATGACATCACACCATGTGAATAATACAAAAATAACACTGTATAGAGGAAATGAAAATCATTGTACTGTAAAATTGCAAAAAACCTTTGTCATATTCAAGCGCAATTACCAAAGCAACCTGCGCGTGTTGTGTAAATTCGATTATAATTTACAGTTTGCACGATATAGATGGAAAAACCAGAAATAAATGCAATAAATATAAAATGGAGTACTTACATTTAACTCTAAAGCTTTTGTTTCAATTTCAGTCTTTGTGTATTTGGCTCTAAAATCTAGCGGTTGAAGACAGGACTCCATTATTTTAAACCAACTTCGCAGACACTTCAATTCGTGGTCGATATCTAGAAAATTCAAATAGTGTTTGTTCGGGAATGGTAAAATAATATTCGGTTTATAAAATGTACCTATTAGCAAATAGGTTTGTGTTTCGACCTTTGTATATATAATAACAAAACTGGCTGTTTTGTAAATAGTTGCAAATTGCATAATGGAATGACCAAAATAGCTAGTAAACTAACTCATAAAAGTCATAAAAACTCTGGATAACTACTACACGCTACCTACTTGCGATAAAAAGGGACATAATTCCAGTAAAAAAAATAAGAAAGTGGTATCGCAACAATATGTCCAAAAAATAAAGCAAATTGTCCCCATTCAAACATAAGACCCACCAGCAAGAACAGGTTTTACACATGATTTTTACATAATTGCTACACCGAACACTATGTTCTTAACGATTTATTCTTTAAAAAAATTTGCAAGAGAAACCGCATAAGCGACTAAACGTTACACTGAGCAAATAATAAATTACGCAATAAAAATATATACTCTAAAAACATATTTAATATAATGCTTCTAAATCAAACAAATATGCGTATTTTAAGATAATAGCGGTATCTACCGCAAACGATTTTGATAAACTAACTGAAATTTAATCTCGCTCTTACAGAATCTGAAGTCAAAATACTGGAATTATATTGAAATAAAATAATTGAAAAATAAATAAAGTTAATTGGTAGCGTTTGGGGAACACCAACATAAGAAGTTAACTATGCTTATCAAAAAATTAAATCACAGCCAGTAAAAAGTTTAATTTCAAATCTATTCCCAGAATTATTACATAGCGGATCAGATTTGCGTTAATACTCAATTTCAAATCAAGCAATTACTATACAAAATAAGCACGTTATGATATCTGCTCGTATTCACTACTACGAAACGATAAATAAGATATCCTAGGCACATAGTCGAGCACTTTTGTGTTTGCTTTAATAATGTCTTGTTAACGGTAAACAAAACAATTCATAATTATAGAGAATGGTTTCCGATACAAGCTTACGATATGTTTGCTTCTGTAAATGTTTTGATAAAAATGTATCAATCGGAGTACTAGTAAATTCTTTCCACTATTGAACTATAGATAACAATTCATTTACAAAGCAGATTGTACGTAACACTTTAATAAAAGAAGGTTTGTAATTTCAAAATCACCTGAAACGAAAACCTTGACAAATCCGTAATGCGGAGTTTTTTGCCCAATTTCTACAAAAAAAAACAAAGCTCTTAGATAAAACACCGGACCGTTAAATACAAAATATACTATACAAGTCAAGTAACTGTACTACGTTTTTAGCCAGATTTAAACCATGTTTGTTCAAGTGTTTGATGGTTATCAGCAGTAAAGAGCCTTTCGTTTTATAGTGATTTTAAAACGATTTGAATCTTGTTTGACCAAGAGACCGGAATATCGTGCAGACTAAGTGAAACGTAAAAATCTCTACATTATTTAAAAAATGCAATAAGCATTGCGAATAATTGAATCACAAAATAGTGTACAAAAAAAGATTTAACGAGTTTCTCTACAATGTATGCATCATTTTTATTTAATATATTTCTACCACGCCAAACTAGTATTTCCAATAGGAAATAGGGTACAATATACAGGGTGTCCCGTAAGCACATGATCAAAAGGGTACTGCGATATTTGTTGGATCAAAAAAAGACGATCTGACCTTACTTTTATTAACAAAAAATGTCTAGCTCCTCTGCTATTGATGGTCAGTTCTTCAAAAAAATTATCTTTTTTGAAATATCGGAAGAATGGTACGATGTATTTTAGTGAAACTCGCTGTGAATTTGTTCTTATGTAAGACTCATATTTTGATGAAACAAACGAGTTCATCCGTTTTGGACAAGTGGTGAATTCTTGAGTGTCGTGGTACAAAAACTACCAGAACGTTTTATATGGTGGATGGAATCAACTCATTTTTTGGTTGATGCACTAATCATTTTTGCACAATTTTGTGCTCTTTGTAAAGGCTTGTAGCGTTCATAGTTTTTGCGCAAACAAAATATGTCTGTTTTCCTGCCACTTAACAATGTTAGACATTAATAATGTTTTTTTTAAGAACTTTGACCATCAATAGCAGAGGAGCCAGACATTTCTTGTTAATAAAAGTTAGGTCAGATCGCTTCTTCTGATTCAAAGATTATCGCAGTATCCTTTTGATCATGTGCTTACGGGACACCCTGTATAAAAAATCATAGAGAGATATAGAGTAACACGTTTAAACAAAACTGCACCGGCTATCATGTAAATTGTAAACTAACGACAGCTGAATTAGAATAGCAGAAGCTTTAAATAGAATAACAACGGATTTTCAAACTAATTTCCTTTGTGACTGAACCCAGTATATTTTAAATACATACATTCCACAAACCGATTTTTATTTATGTAGCTACCAGAATAATAACCCACCTATTATTTAGTGCATCACGCCTACACATTGAAAAAATCTAATAGGATAAATTTGCTTGACCTCATTTTTTTCGGCGATATGCAGTGAGTGTGAGAATTTTATGTCAAACAATCATTCAATGTAAATATTATAAAAAGTAAGAACCTACTAGAACGAGAAATACTAGGGACCATTTAGTTAATCGGGCTTGTTTAAAATTATTTTTATTCCCAATAATGTCATTGAATATCTTAAAGTAGTTGATTGGTAGAACCGAAACTGTGATAATGAACCTTTTATGGACATTCCCGTAATGAAGATAATAATGTCGATAAAAAGTGTGCTGCCTATTCAAAGGTATATACATAATGTTAAAGGTAAATTAAAAACTGAGCCTAATAAGGTACAAATTGATGTACAATATGCAAACATTAAACGCAAATTTAACTAACTACTAACTAAACTGAAACGGTCTCGAACACGTCAAATAACGAATAAAAATGGCGAAAAATATTGGTCGAGTATTAGAAACATCTTAAGTTTACACCTTTACATCATGTATTTGGGGGCAGGCTAATATTGAGATCAAATAAGAAGAAAAATTGTTCAAAAATTTCTACAAAAAAAAAGATTAAAAAAATGGTGTGGGTCCCATTTATCACTTAGGGGTATAAGAATAGATGAGAACCTACTAAATATACATATAAAACTTCATCAAAATCGGTCTAGCCGTTTCGGAGGAGTATGATAACTAAAACTGTGACACGAAAATTTTATATATTAGATATCGTTGCCATTTCATATATGTAGTTTTAAAGCTATGTAAGAATTTATATCTCTTACAACTCTTCCCAAATAAATCGCGTTGGAAGAAAACGCATATTGATCAGCAATCAACGATACATCCACATGCAATTTAATGACTACGTCCTGTCTATCTATAAAATTGCGAAGCATTTTTGGGGGAATCGGGTGGATTTGCTTATGCTGAGATAAAGAATCGGATGTATTAACGAGGGCATTTTTTGATGACAACGTTATCGAACACTAAACACTTTCCGAATGAACACTTTCTATTCACGCTCATAACGAGGCTAAGTTTTACAAGTAAAAACGTTTCAGTGAATCCGCGTTTGGTATAAGCTAATGCAGAAATAGAAACATTCGATCCTTATATCCAGAAAGAAATCAGGGACTCCGATACTATCGAAAGGAATAAAGCTTTCGAAATGCTCAAGAAGCAAATAACTATTAGAGAAATATAGACGAAAGCTCTTAGATGAAATCATCGTTCAAAACTATCCGTGGAAATGACATCATAAGAAGAAAGTCAATGCTCCAACTATTGGACGATTACCACAAGAATAGAAGAAAAAAATAATGACTAGAATACAAAACGTCCGGAAATAACCAATGACGAAATTATTATTACGGTGTATTGAGATGCACGACAAGCGAATTCAATCTTGCCAAAAATATTTATTAAAAAGGTAGGTGGATCAAAGTCAGTAAACAGCGAATAATTACGATTAAACTGACTAAATTACTTAGCACAAGGGTGCTAAATAATTAGATTTAGATTTAAATTAGATTAGAACCAAGATATTGTTAGAATCCAACTATCAGACCGAAAAAACAATACATAGGAAACCAACGGGAACCAACGGATGATGTTAAGCAATGGAACTTTAAGGGAATTATGCCAGGCATGTATAAAAGGAAAAGACAATAGGTGAACAAAACCATTTCTGGATCAGACGACTAAATCTTAAAAGCGGGAATACTATCAAAAACTTTTAAAGCTAAGGACCAAAATAAATTAAAATTACATCACCAAGAGGTTCAAATAGGTGAATTGTGATCAGATGTGTTCTTCTATTCTTAGAACAGTTTTCAAAAGATATTGAAATTCGCATCATCGATTACCTCGTGAAACGGGTGATGTCACGATACATTATTGAGGTCAGACTTCCTTTCGATGGTGAATGTTTGTGTTAAATTTGTTGTTTAAGCTTACTGCCTGTTCAGTTAAGTTCGATTTATTACTAACCAATAACAATTGCTAATATGGTTTACAAACCAATAGGTATCCCAGGCAGAAATATTGAAAAAAAGAAAATATATCATACATCAGGAGGACATTTGAAAAGAAATCAGCAAACAAAAGTCGCAAATTGTATCTAAAAATGAAAGTGGCTCTACTCATTTCAATCAAGACCGGCGTCAAAAGCAATCATAGAATGTTTGAATTGAACATAACTGAGTTGTACGTAAGTTACATGTAAGCAATGCCATAATGTTTGCAGATCTATTAAAGGGTGGTTTTTAGTGGTAGGTATAGAACTTAAATTGAAATAAAACTTATAAAATTAATGTTAAAATCATGGCATTCGCTTTATTAAAAAGACAGTTCTATGCCATTATAGCTTAAATATGATTTGAGGCATATGGGCGCCGCTGCTGGCTCCCATCCAAAAAAGAAGAGTAATCCACGAAAGAAGTCCGATTTTCGACAATTTTGATTGCACTGGACCATAAAAAAGCACATCAACCAGTGAGTTTTTCTGGATATAACGGCCTCAATAATGGCTTTCGGATTTTCCTCGTTCCAAATTCGGCAATTTATTTCGAAAATCGCTGTTCAGTTTTATTTTACGTTTGAACTTAAAAATGGCAGTGAAAAAGTCTGAATATAAAATAAAGAGACGCATATAGCGAGTGGAATCCGATAATATTCCACTTTTTATTGCACAGTGCGAAAGGTAAATTATCACCTGTATCGTCATTGTAGGTATACATAAAAAATTATGTCCAACTCACCCTTAGATGACCTGAATAGTATACTTTACGAAAAACAATCATACTCCATTGAATTAAGCAATAAATCTTGTCCACATCGTTCACATAGTGACGTATTATTGCATGTCGTCACATGACTGCGAAAGGAAAAATGTCATTGTCTGAACAGTTGAAGTGTCTTGACGTTAGTGTCATCAATCAAAGTTTGATATAGGACACACTGACAGTGGGGATTATTTCACGGTTTCCAATCTTTGGTGCGATATTTTTATTTTGTTTGTTTTTCGATCATGTTATCCTTTGATGTCTGTCTATGCGATAAATCGATTTCAGAATATAACGAGAGACATAAACAGGACCAAACAGAAGAAGCTCTTTTAAACAGTTGTAATTTAGAAAACGTCAAAACGTTAAGGGCTAACATTACAACGTTTTGCGGCACCTATAATAATGAATTTCGGATGGTTAAAAAATCGATAATGACTGGCTCTGCTGCTTATGAAATTTATAAGCCCAAGCTGCACTGATTTATTTTGGTCTTCAAACTGCAGTTCCCTGGCGGTTCCCTATGGTTATATGGTATGTTTCTGATTTACCTAATGTTTTCCTACGAATAATCCACTGTCTTATTCACACTCGCATTTTTAATTTTTGTCTCAAGTTCAAAATCATTATTTCTTCTAACACATCTGCTACTGCAGATATGAGTTCTGCCCTTTTACTACCGACACCTAGTGCCATGGCCTTAAATGTCGAATACTGCCACCGAATTGAACACGACATCAATGTCACCGTCTGAACGAGCCTTTACTCTTACTTACCATACCATATAAGTCGTATGCGGAATTACCCACAGTGGCAATTTCATTCCTAAACTTAATCATTAACTTAATGTATACAGTCCAAGTTAACTCCGCGTATTCAAATGCGACCGTTTAGCCAAGTGTTTAATTCAGAAACATAATTTAATCCTTAAAATTCCACCTAGAAAATTTCGAAACTTTTAAGTTTTACGAAATAAATATTAAGGAAACGGTACGTTCGCGTTCCGCGCATGCGGCGCATTCCTGTCAACATGTGATTTCATCCCGTGGTAAAAGCCTAATGAAGTGTAATATAGAAAGAATAATTATTTCAAATATCGATCTGACCGAGGACAGGTTGAGTGCCAGCTGGTTGTTACTTGTCGGGTTTTTGTGCGTAAAGCAAAAAATATGAATTGACATAAGATAATTTACATATTAACAACATTATAGGAGCAACTGTCTTGATTTTGAAGTTTTTGAACAACTAGTTTCGCTCAGCTACTGAGAACAAAAAGTCCGAAACCGATCCTGATATTCTCGTAACTTAGTGGAACAAAAAATGGTTATACATTAATGCCTTAATCTTCACTATAAATATATATATACATATATGTACAATTTTTGTTCGCCTCGCCTAAACAGGTGAATTATAAAGATAAATGCACGTTTGTGCATAATTATAGCTAATTAGTAATTTCGAAAACAATCAATTTTACAGAACTTCTTGGTTTTAACACGTACAAATAATGGTAATAAAATATATCACAAAATCACAGCGGACTTTTGCCCTCATCAGTTAAAATTGTAAGAGAAATGATGATTAACACAACACATATTTGAACGAGGAATAAAAAAATATGTGCTTCTGTTGCTGTTTTCAGTGCTAACTCTCAAAAAAGCAGTTATGAATAAAAGGCTTAGGAATGTTTGCCAACATTTTCATTTCAACCTTGCCATGTTGTAGAATTTCACTTCATCAAAAATCGACTCATTTAAACATTTGTTTTGATTGTTTAAGTGTATATCCGGAAAAAAGACATAATATGTACAAAGCTCACCTAAACATGTGTCCTGATCACACATTTCGCAATCCGAAGGTCCTAAAATACTAAGAATTGAATCCCATTTTGAATTTAGATGCGTGGTTCTCCAACTAACTTCCTCCTGAACTTCTGGATATAGTTGAACTAGTTGACTAGCTTGATCGTTGAAAAGCTTCAAGGTAGAGCTTTTTTCGAGGACCTTGTTAACACAACGCTAAAAACAAATAGGCTTATGTTAGAACGATTAGTTGAATTTAATGCCATTGGTAGCAGTAGTGGTATAAAATTAACCCATACTCACTGCTCGTAAAGCTTTGTCCATGATATTTTCCTCTTTGCCATAAATTGTCTCTTGAACGCTATTTAACCAAGAATAGAGTTCAGAGAATTGAGCATAGAATTCCTTTAATGTCCATGTTCCATTGTGAGTTGCCAAATCGCCATTTACTTCCTGAAACATATTTTTAGACCTATTAGATTAATGAATTACAATAAAGCCTGTTTGAATGAGTATTTTGACTCAAAAGATTTAACGGATGAAATGAGGCTAAACTTTTTCACGTTTTTAATCATGATTTCAGACAGAACTTTTATAAGAATACGTTTTCAAATTTTTTTTTCAGATTTTTTCTATAAGAATTTTAGTTTCAAAAACATTCTGCTGCTATGTTCTAGTGGTGCCGCCTTTGTAAATACAAGCCAACTGAAGAACCATTAGCTTTCACTGCTCTTAACCGCATATTAAAATATACTAACTACTTTACCGACAACACCGGCGTAATTTAATAGTCATTCGCCAAATAAAAAAAAAACATTTTTACCTGGCATTTATCGATAAGGTTGTTGTCCATGATATAGTTGTAGTTGGCCTGTAAAACAGACCAAAATTCTTCTCGCTGATCGCTTGCTGTACTGCCCCATGATCGTCTGACGGCTGTAGCCTTTACCCTGTTTTTTGTTAAACTGTTGAACTGTCTTGGTTTAACAGCTTTATCCGGCGTATTCTCACTTGGGGTCTGCTGTAGAGACGACAAGGAAAAACTGTTCTTGAGCGAGGAGTTTTCGAAACCTATAAATAATAAATCAAAAGTTAATTTCCAGGTATAACTAATAGCTTGTTGTAAGTAATATGTCAAAATACGTAAACGCTTTATAAAAGAAACAACCACAAACTTAATATAATTTCTCATTTCAAGTGATTATTTGATGGGGAATGGTGGGGTAACTAATATGGGTGATCGTCTTGGGTAGAACATATTGATTACCTTCAATGAGAACATACTGCAAGAGTCCTAAACGCTTGAAAGACGAAAACAAGTTTCCTGATTTAGCGAATAATTATTTATTTCATTGTGTTGTTGCGTTCCACCCTAACTGATCGTCGCATTAAATACATGACTATATATTCCATTCCATAACAAATATTAATTTCATAGAATATAATATAATGAATACGTATTTACCGTTTCTAAAACAATGTGAATACGTTCGTATTTTTGATTGAATGTTAACCTGTATAAAACACCCTGTATAAGACTCCGCCATAAAGCCCTATATAACCGAAGCTCAAGCGAGTTCCAACATTCTTAATATAAGTCTCGTAAATGTGTGATCTGTGCATCCTGTAGGGGATTTTATTAATAACTACAAAGTAAAATAAAAATCCTAGAAAATCAAATAGTTTCAGAGGAATTTAAACTGTCTGAGATTTCAGACGGAAACAGTTCCTTTGGCGAAAATTTAGCTTTTAAGACCGTATGTTTAATTCGCGGTCTTGGGCAATATGGCGCCTTTAGTAACTAAAATAAACACTTATAATTATGCGGTGTGTTGAAAGCGGCTATTTTATTACCGTTTCATGAAGATGTATGGAATGGCTCGACAAAATACAATCCCACTGAAAATAACATTTCCGAATTATTTCTTCAATTTTCATATCTTCAATTCTCCTTTAATGTTCATGTGCTAAAAAATGCATTTTTTATTAACATTCCACTAACCAAACAATGTATTAAAGAGAAATTATTGATTATAGCGACCTCCTGTAAAACTAAGAAGCGGGCCAAATGGGACATTAAAATTAATTACAGTAAATAATAAACAAATAATAGTTATGGGCATAGCATATGGGTTTTCAGACCTTACAAAATGTGATGTAATGTAATGCCGTGATACTTACATATTAAAGCTTTAAAGTGTCACAATTGTTATTTACCATCAAAAATATTACTAATGCATGAAGAAAGGTGCTAATTTACTGTTTAGCATCTGGTTGTTCAATCATTCAAAATCCTGCCGCAAAGCAGTTACATCAAAATGATAGCGCATATATCTCCAAAAGTAACAAATCACAAAGCTATTTATATGTAAATAGTTTTAGTGTTTTGCAATTCAAAATGGAGCAATTTTTCAATACTAAATGGATTGAGAACGTAGATATTTTATTGAAATATGTTATTTAATGGACAACAAATTGATCGTAAATCAACTATTCTTATGAAGATAGTTTCAAAAGCAACAACAGTAATTTAATTTTTTTGAATATTTCAGTTCCCGCGTTAAGTTTTGAAAAGCAGTTGTTATTGGGATCTAAAATAAAACCGCTAGAAGACGAAGTATTCAAAATAAGTTACCCCTGTACTATATTTTGATCCACTGTACACTAGGGAATAATCAGAATTCCCTCGCAATATTCGAATATTCCCTAGAGATTAACACGTACCATTAAATTTAACTGGTCACGTTCGTTATGAGCCTAATATTAAATAGTCATGTAAAGTACCATTGTAAGGCATAATGATTAAGACTAGAGAAAAGGAAATTTCAGATTGAAAAGATTAAGTGTAAAATAAAATAAAATAAGGCATTAGTTCTGAAACGTTTTTCGTAGCAAAACTGAAATAGTGTCCAAATGTGGCCAAATTTTAAAAAGTGGTACATTGAGGATGGGTCTATTGCGTCCTTCAGAAAAAAATTTCAAGCAATTATCAAGCTGTCGAAAAACTTGATTTATCTCCTTATGCATAAAATATACGATAAATAAGTCAATTAAGTAAACATGAAGGGACAAAAAGAACATACAATTTATTAAATTTCCAAGGATACCATATATTTTCTTTTATTATGTAGTTTCGATTTTTCTTTCTGTTCTAGATATAAAAAGTTCGAGTCGTTATCCTGTAAAATTTTAACAATTTGTCTTGACTTCAGCATTCATTTTTTTTATTTAAATAAATATGTCTTCGATCTTCTTACTCATTTATTTATTATTGGGTAGCCCAGACTGTTATTTATCATAGTTTTTAGTCCTCAAAGAAACACATTCCGAACGATTGTTAAATGACTCAGAAGTTTTCTTTCTGAAGCCCAGATAGGGAATAGGTCTGCTATTCCCTATACTTTCCACTTTTCAAAGATTGTCTTAACACACAGTGTGTTAAAAAGACAATTACCGACTAACTCCTTAAAAATCCTTTGACAACAGCTTGAGTTTTTTAATGAAATTTTACCGGCGTTAAATGTTAAGAACCATATATAACCAATTGTCAAAATGTTATTTGCGCTTTCACCAATGCTGTAAGCTCAAGCTCACCAGAAACACATCTGATCAATTTTCAATAATAAAATGATAGGACGATCAATGACCTGTTTACACCTGACCTGACATAAAGTCCTGTTCAATTTAGAAGAGGTCGGTTGCCTTTTGTTGTACAACTTATCATTATCGAGAGAAATAGAATTAATTCGCATCTGTGATTAGGTAGAAATACAATTGTAGAACTATATTCGCTTTCGAACTGCACAAGAATTGAGAAAAGTTAGAGATGTATCATATTTTAATGTAAATTTCCTCCTGAGTCCTCGCCACCGGTGAAACGGGAAACAACGTTTTCTTCCAATAACACGAATGCTGTAAATACTGAAAACGAGTGAAAAATTAAGCACTGTAGATCAAAAACTAAATGGTTTTAGTATATGGTACATTAAGGAAAGACATATAAAACTTGATAGACTACAACCTCCAATAAGGAATTCATCGACTTACCAAACATTATATACCCTGACCTAAAAGTATATTTGCCCCTTTTTCACGTAAAAGTGAAAACCGTAACGTTCGAAACCGACATCTGGGCGCCATATTTGATTTAAAAAATTAAATGGAAAGGAGGGTCTTGGGACATCTCATATGAAAGGTATTTTAAGCCTCCGTTGTCATTGAAATGATGAAAACAGTATTTTATGAATTCATCTTAATCAAATGTACGTAAATTGTACGAAAAAAATTGTTCTTTGCACAATCCTGTATGTTAGTCCATTTCTTTCAAATATAACTGACAAGGTATGTGTGCACATCTGAAATAACTGAACATTCCAGTCAAGCCTGGAATGTATAAGAGCACGTATTTTTAAACGTCTCCGGAATATAACGCCAACGTTCAATAACAAATAACCAGTATATCTCATTATTGAATTAAGATACCAGAATGGCTCACGTACTTGCTGGTATTAAAAAAGCAAACAGGAATTTTATTTTAATCTCCATTAGAATCTCATAATATAATTAAACGAATTCCAAGATCAATTTCACTGATAGTGCTTTATAAAGGAATTATATCGTTAATTTTTCAGAAAATCCAATAGGAAACACGTTTGTGAATTATCTCTTTAAGGCCCTCCCTTCGACTCGGTTGCCTTTGGGCGCAATACTGCACGAGCATCATTCTCTTTTTAATTTATTTAATGTTTCTGTAATCAGTTATTACGCGTAGTTGGGAGTTTTTTAACATTTAAATTAACTTGAAATGGGGAAAGTAACAAGCAAATCATATATATAAGTATCTTTTAAAAAAACTGTGCTCTGAATCATGCCGCTATACGTACGTCAACAATTAGTCAACATCCTGTGTATTATTTCTCATTAAAGCAAACGCTCATAATGGATTGAAATTATTTAAATAATGAAGCCTATTTAACATAAACTAACTAACCCTAATATTAATATGGAAGCAGAACACTAGTTAATGTAATTCACACCGAGTTTATATTATTTACTAATTGAATTTATTAAATTTGGAAAACTTGCTATTGTGCTTCTCAGCACAACTATAAAACCGGTACCTTTTCATTAAGTCTACGTACAGTTAGGGGAGATTTTGAAAAATTAATTAAAATATTTGGGGATAAGGTCAACGAATTTTGGAGCCATTGTTGGGCACTGACATGCTTTTGCCGAGTGAATTTATTTCGTAGACTATATCTAACGAAACTCACCAAATGCACTTGGAAAACATATAATAAGTAACATGACCTTAAGTATGACTCCAAAGTGCGTTACATACTATTTATAGAATTTAACAAGCTGACAAAACTAAGTATATGGAAGTCGATGTTGTTGCATGCATTAAATTTGAGAACTATATATCTTCATTCAGTATATGGGCAAGAATCCTTATTAAATTAGTAGGTGTCACTCAAATTTAAACATTAAACAACAGCAGATTCAAATATTTTCGAAAAATAAACGTCCTTTATAGAATATCTAATTAAGGACAGGAAGGACACACCGTTAAGCGAAACAAAAAGGATCACCAAAACTAATGAAACATCCTTTATTATAAATATTTTAATAACTGACTAGAAAGGATCAGTCGAGCCTTTTTGGGCATGGTAATAATGTGATGTCCATCTTTGGTTAAACTCTAATTCACTGACGGACGGCGTTGGCCATGAATAAGTAGTTCATAAATATTAATAATTGAAATATTTCCTTTGTTTACACCACAAAACAGAAAATAGGGAAACTCTTGAGACGAAATCATTATTTTGTTGAAACTTCGGAAACATCTGGACACAGTTTGTCCCACATTTGCCCTTAAGCTTTAAGCATCTGTTACCATTACGCGTTAAATTGGTGGCATCCGAATTGTTACGACAGTATAAACTTTCCCCAATTTTCTATTTGGAAATAACCGATTCTTTTTTTGTTTCAGATATTCAGACAATTCAAAAAAGCTGGACCTCGTAATGGAGAAAACTTGAACGATGAAACGATGAACAGACATACCACAAAAGAAAATTATCTTTAAACATATTTATTCAAAAAAACTTGAATAGCAGAAGACACACGAAGACAGAACGAAGTATAGCGTATAAATCCAGTAAACTGATTTGACTGACACATTCTTAACATAGCAATGTTAGAATCCGATGAAGATATTAATCTAAGCAGATCAAACGCCTTTTTCAAGTAAATTCTCCAGGAAAAACAATGAAGATTGAACGAACTACGTGAACAAAGTGTCAAAGTGAGAAAGTGATACTTAAGCATCTTTCGCCCACATAGGAACACAACTTGTAACCGAATGATTTAAATCAAGTTCTTAAACTGTCTAAGTTAAGTTCTTAAATTAAATTTTTAAACCAGAAGAGCTATTATGACTGCACACTGAATACTGAGGTCTATGCGAAATTTGGGAAAAAATCCTTTCTATCGTTTCTTAAATTCACAAATTTAAGCACTAAATAAGGTTAATACACAAATTTTCTGTATTAAAATCAGCAATTAAAGTGTATGCAATTAAAAATATTTAGCACGTTCAGTAATTTAGGATATTTCATCCCAAAGTAAACTAACTCAATGCTACTTAATGCGGCCGTACTTATGACATCGATTTAAAAACCTGTCGGACATTCAAGTAATAAATGTTATTTCATTAAGAATATTATCCAAAACAGATGTTTCGGTTTATTTTTACTATGAAAGCACGTTCATGAATAATGCCACTATTACTTATATAGCGATCATTATAAAAATACTGCCCAATTAAAGATATTATAAAAATGTAAACTAAATGTACGTAAGTAATTATTGCTTATTGATAAAATTACAAAAATAAAATAGGTGGTTGCAGCATTTACATGATTTTCCTGTGATAAATTTTCCAATTTCTAATAATACGACATATAAAGTTACGTACTAAGCACACAATAGCAGAAAAGAAGCAAACCGACCTGATTTCAAGATTTAAGAGTAAAATACAAAATGGCAGAGAGCAATCTGAAAGTTGATGTCTATAAATCCTTTTATGGGAAACTAGGAAAAGCCATAACTAGTCAATGACAGTAAAAACCATTGTATAACTTGCAAATTTAAATAAATTGATGAAATTGTTCGACTCAATTGCCGATATATGTATTGGGACATTTTAAATCAGTATTAGTAGGTGGCATACCATGACTATGTTTATAATGTCTACTCAAATATTTATAATGTGAAATTTAGACAATATAACGCATTTATTCGAAATTATACATTTCAAGGGGTTAGGAAACGAACATATGCGTTAATTGCGTGTGCATCTATTTTAAAGGAAACAGGAAGTGGGAAATACGTCAATCAGCACCACCAAGTTCACTACTTAAAATTAGGGACCATCCATATCCCGCTTCCCAGAAACAATTTCCACATTTCCGTCTGACCGAAAATTGTTTTCTTAGGACATCTTGAAGTCGTCGAAGCAGACGGCGCCATTTTAAACACTAGACGCGACCGAAGAGTTTTTTGTCGTCCAAAATACATTGTGGAATGTTAAAATGTCAATTTTCTAAAGGTTACACTTAAAACTAAAATTAAAAATGCTAAAAATATATCGACCATGTCCACGGGATATAGATGCATTCGGGCGCATAACAAATTAGATCCTTTGAAGACATACGATTTTCAAGAACTCGATGAACGTTCTCATTTCTCTACCGAAGTGTCTGAATGGGTTATTTGAATTTTTTTTGATCACCTATAAATGGAACCCTAAAAAATGCAAGTTTTCATGGCCCTTCGGTTCTAAATAGGATTTTGCTTTAGTAAGACAATTCCATCCAACGTTTGGATATCATCCGAGATGAGTTAGTTGCTCTTCAAATTGAACTTAAATTAGTTAAACTTACCCAACTTTGTTTGTAAACCTGTTAGGAAATGACACTGTGTCAACAAAGAATAAAGTGACATTTTCCTTTGAATACTGGCCGGAATGCAATAACAAAACGTTTTATAACTGTTTTTGTAGATAAGTAAATGCCAGTTCGCTGGCAGTTGAACTAAGTTCAGATGGGAAATATACCGAAAATCACGTTTTAACAATGTATAATCAAATTAACATCGCAAATTGCCTAAAAATGTGAGCTTTCTTCAATGAAAATGAACCGTGAAAGCCAAGCCAGCCAATGCTTTGTCATTAAACAGTTAACCACACAGTAAAGGCCTTTATTTTAGCTCATAATCGTCAAATTAATTGTCTAAAAAACACTTTCGCTTAATTATATATCTTGCTCGTGCTGTCTGCTTTGAACTTTATATGCATTGCTGATGGCATTTTGCTGATGTACCGTTTGTAATTTAGCCCTTTTCTCCCATTAGTTCATATACACTTTCCTGGCCCAAAATCGTTTGGTTTCTCCACTTTGTGCCTGTAATAAATTTCTTCGTGGCGTTTCGCCCGAGAACCGACACTTTTTAAACAAAAACTTTGAAAGCTTAGCTCACAATACACTGCAAAAGATTATCATATTATTGCTGTTAAATCTGAGACTTCCAGCTTTGGTGTCGTCCAAATATTCTCATTATGCAATAACTTTGAATCTCAATTATGATTTTTCATTACCAAATGACTTAGTTATAGAGTTCCCAAATTGACCTTTGATATTCGACTTCAATTTCAAGTCAAGTTTTGATACAGATTTCCGAATTGCATATAAATTGATTCATGAGTCTGTAACTACAAACTGAGTTCAGCTTGCAGAGTTTCCAATTTCAGTTCTATATTTGTCTTAACCTTTAAGTAGATATGAGCACTCACTTCAATTTATTAACATATCCACATTGGAACAGTGGAACAGGATGGCTATCTTGGTCAGAAGTAATACAAATAATAAAAGTAATCCTTAGCTATTAACATGGGACTGTTGATGGTAATTTCAGAAGACACATTGAACGAACACTTACATCGAAAGTCAAGTTATTGATGAACAATTTTATTTGTTATTATAGTTAACGTGTCCATTCGGTTACTCAATTACTTTTTCAACATTGTTTACAATTGCACTGCATCGACTGAAAATTACGCAAATCCAAATTGTGCATTATGAAATGTGAGTTTATTATGTTTATTTAGCCTGTTAAATTTATAGTAGGTACCTTTAACCGACAGGTTTTCAAACATTATGTTAGTTACAGTAACGTGAATTATAATCAGGAGCACGTTTTTTCGAAAAACTGAACAACATATTAATCAATAAACGTTGAATTAATTCGATTAACATGATGAAAAAAATGTACGTGTAATAAAACTTAAGTATTAAGGTCTGCATCCTGCAGACCTGCCAACTGAATTGCAATCAATCAATGGAAGGTGTAAGTTTTTATCTAAAGGTTTCTTCCAAATATTTATGGTTACCGGCCGTTCCTTTTGTGGGTTGCTACTGATATTTTAGTCAGAAAAATTTCAATGCAATTTAATAAATGTTATGTTGATGATTGAATAATAATGCAAACACACGTGTCAAATAAAACTTATCATAGAACTAAAACAACAAGAAATTGCAAAGACAGATTCAAAAAACGTACCTAAAAAGAGCATTGTAATAAATACGAATGTACTTAAAAATAACTGAATCGTGTACCCCCTGTATCTCGTAAACCGAGCGTTTGCGGACCTGTTTGAATATTTTGTCTGACTTTTGGTAGCAGAATTTGTACTTTAAATGGTGCAACCAATTTCGATCCACACTGTATATATTAATGTAAATGTGAGATTCACTTTTTCCTACGCATTCTTAGTACACTACAATGTTCCACTGTATCGTCTGTCCGACTATAAAATCAAACAACCTCAAAATGGACAGAATAGAGCATTAAGAATCACTTAAAAAACAGTCAACATGCATGTATTAAGACAATGGCTAATGGTTGAATGATCTGTCTGTTAAGCAGAAAAGTATGTATTTTTGTTTAAAGTGAAAAATGGGATGTTGTCCAGTAATTCTCTAATTTGCAAAACTGTATTGTAATAAATTGCCTAACAACATAGAAAATCGCTGAAAGCACATTTGGTGCCTTGAACAGTCTGGTGATATTTTGTACTATAATTTAAAAAGTTATTATTTCGATGTTAGGTGACCCATTTCGGATGTTGTTTTTCACTTTATCATTAACATCACAAATACACATACAAAATTATTAAAAGCAACTAAAATGCACAACGTATTTTTTTTTATGGTTGAGGCGTGTACAAAAACCTTTTATTTGTGTAGGTTGCCTTCAATTTAGGTTTTTTCGAAAAACTGAATGTCCTCACGTCTTTAATTACGAATTTGTAATCAAATATATCAAAACGTATCAAATAAACACACTCATCATCAAATCATATTAAAAAAACGTGGGTAAAGCGGTCTTTCCAAAGACCAAATGTATCGAGTGTTCCATTAAAAAAAACACAACTTTTATGTCCCACGCGTTTGTTTGTTACATCAAGTATAAAAATAAAACTAATGACATGGATAAAATATAGCAGTCCCGATACAGTACTTCTACTTTGTACACTAATTTTCAAATAATTAAATTTTACAAATGCTGTGTGTTAGGTGCCTGGTTAAAAAATATCAAATTTACTTTCCTTTTTAACTGTTATATGCAGTAAATTGTAAACAGCTCAACATTTAAAGGTTAAATGGGGCGGTAATTTTAAAATGATCGCCTAATACATATTTGGCAGTAGAACTAACTATTGCACTAACATGGGTCGTAATGCAAAATAGGTCTCTTAATTGCAAATGTTTAAAATTAAACAGTTTATAATGAATTATTTTAAAAGATTGCCATATGTTCATGTATATACCAGGATGTTTTATCGATGTTTTTATATGGTGAAACATGGACTCGACTACAGTACCTTTCGATCCCGCAATTCGTCTCTAATTAAAATTCAACTGGTAACGTGTATTGTGCCAAGCACCCGAAGTCTGATGCTAATAAAAAAGCACACTTCAATCCGCTTCGTGTACTGTACTTTATTGAGAAAAAAATGCAACCCAATTGATCGGAAACATTCATTCAATGATGTATTACCAACCATTCGGTTTTATTTACGGTGAAGCGAAATGGCTGGTTTATTATTCATCGTGTTCAAAACCGTAACACATGTATTGTAAATGCTAGTACCGCTAAAATTGAACTTTTCTAATTTTAACTTGCGGAGTCAACTACAACTTGACCCACTGGATGCAATAGATGCATGTATAAAGTACTCGCGAGAGCTAAAATATAGAAATAACTTTTGATCGCAAGTTTCCATCAAAAATCAAAGTTTTACACGAGTGGTATCTAAAAATGAATTTCAGGTCATTTAATTTTATACATCCACGATATCCATCGCACTTGGGCTTAAGTGCTTATTTTTTACGATGTTTATAGTCCATCGAATATGTTTTAAGATCCATCGTCCTACTACTTCCTGGTGAAAGACAAATAGATGTAAAGAAGAAGGGCAACCGTTACAAAAAAATATATTTAGTAATCAAATATTTTTTCAAAAAGTAAAGAATACAAATTGAAAAATTCTCCCGAAAATGTGTTAATAACTCTCACTGTAATACTAAACCAAAAATATTCAAATATTCCGTTAAAATTATTTATTATTATACCTTGTTGCCTACTTGCTTTAAAAGTTAATAAGCAATGATTTCCTGATCGCAAACACCCAATAAAAAACGTGTTCCAAAGAGTCCTCAGAAGTTTTAGGCCCAATGCAGAAGAAGATTTTTCGAAGCAATGCGATAGTTGAAACTAAAATTCATTTGAAGTAAGATTTCTACACTAAAAGAAGATCCCCATAAAAGTCAAAGAAAGATATGTACTTTAACGGTACTAGCCGAACAAACCAGCGCTTCAAGAGTAATGAGAGGATGGATGGAATGAATGAGAGGATTTAAGTTTCATCGGTATAAAATTCAGTTATGTACATATAGGCCAGAATTTTTAACATAAACAATTTTCAAGTAAGTAAACTTTTGTGCATCAAATCGCACTTACATTGAAAACAATTGGCTTTATAGGCTTGATATAATAATTGTTAGAAAAGAATTAAATATTTCACCCGATGATGTAAAATTAAATTTGGATGAAGTATTAACAGGGTTCGTTTAGTAATGGCATACATTATATAGCGTGAATGTGAACTACAGAACGATCGTACATTTTTTTAAATTTTGCCCTACAGTTCCATATTTTTCCATATTATATCAAAAATGGTTCACATTTTCTGTATTGTGACTTACTGAAACTTACCTTAATTTTTTCCGCAGAATTTAACAATGTTATCATATACAGGGTGTTGCATTTAAAAAAAATTGATATGGGGTTACACTTATTCTGGGGCACCCTGTACAGTTGCAACTAATTGTAAAATGTGGCCGACTTAAAACGCAAAATGTCACTAAAAGTTGGATTGAAATACGAATTCGTTTCCTAGTGAGATAAACTCTCTTTTAAGGTGGGTCACCCTGTGTATGTAAATTATCAAGAAAAAAACCAATAAATGTAATAAGCAATTAAAGCTGGATTGTTTCTTGACATTAACTACTTTGCACAACAGGGTATTTATTACAAAATGTTGATTTACGTCACTGGGTGGCCATGTGATCGTAAAAATCTACAAAAAACAAAAAGATGCTATACACCTGTCATATCACAATAGTACTTAAACCTGCAGTAATGCAAAAACTTTTATGACAGAAAGAAATAAAGGTGCAATAAAATTGAATACGTGACTTCTAACTGGCATAAAATAATAAGCAATATGCTGGTCCGTGCTACAGAAGAAAATGCCGGGCCTGCCATTAAAAATTTCCTAGTAAGTTTCATTTCCTCAATGTTTCAGGCGTAACTTTTACTACGCCGATTATAACCACGCCAAGTTATTACTGCCAAACATTAAATGTTGAAGCATACTTTCATACAACAGTACTTTTGGAAACGCTGAGATAGAAATCCGAAGTAATGCTGATTTTATAACACCTTTTGGAGAGTAGGTAACACCCAGCAAACTATCGGTAAAGTCCGATATAAATCTGACCTTTTTGAACAGCCTTTGACTGGGGGGGTCGTCGTTTTTAACGGGCTGTGCTCTTTGTTGGAGTCCATTGTATTTTTACTTTATAAACGATCTCTGAGAATGGATAATGCCTTTTGTAATAATTTATATTACTAATCAACAATAACGTCGACTGCTAATAGAATAGTGAATAGAACATAATTTCCACAGAAAAATGATTTTCAACAGATGTTTAGTGTACAGTTTAGCGCGTAAACCGTTGGTACTTACATATTCCTACTGGCATGATAACGTCCTTGGTAGTAGTGAAAATCCTTTTGCAATAATTGCTTCAATACAGCTTAACAGCAGGGCATTCTGGTTTTGCTATTTCCTGAAACAACCGAAAATTACATCAGCCATGAGAAACTTCGATAAAACCTTAGAAACGCTAAAAAAATGCGGGCAAGGGCAAAATGGAACCACCTTAACATGATGCCCGCCATTGTAAAAAAAATGAAAAACCTGTTATAGAATATTGAAAGGCGTTATACAATTATATCTAACATTTATAGGATTACTATCTGTATCCGCAGAACGTTCCAAGCTAAGCAAGATCCTTATGATAACATGCTTAAATATTGAATCGCATCAAGACTGGGACCTTGTAAAAAAACCAAAACATATTTTTAAACTTTCGCCGACAGTCAAATTTTATGCGAAACATACATTTTATCTACGAAATATATCTGTACGAGAATAAGGGGCAAGTTTAGCGTCGCTAAATTGGATTTCGAACAAAAATACTACTAGTTTTTCCTACTAACATATTTTTTCGAATTAATTTTTAAGCACCTGATTGTACTTAGAGTCCATAACATGTTTCATCCTCCTCATCCTGAAAAACAGCAGTGTTGATAAAATGAATAAAGAAAGTATTCAACATTTTATTCCAAAATATTCCAATTTGGGCATTTTAACCATAAACATAGAAATATAAATAGATAATTAACCATAAACATAGAAATAAAGAATGGAAAAACGACGGAAAAGGAGAGTACGCTCAGAATTTGAGATTTTAGAGAAAACTACCATTGTAACAGCGTGACGTAAAAAATTAATGAAGAAAAGACGCATTAATCTAAAAACAGTAAACTCAACTGGCCGTAAAGTCAATTTAATCAATGTTCTGTGCATTCTGGACAAGACTAGCATATAATGGTCAATAACAAAAGAGTTTTAAGTGTAAAAATAATTAGTCATGAAAGACACCCGCAAAACCCAAGTTTATTTGCAAGGAAATTTGATCAAATCACATTGGTCAGTTGCTAAATGTTCTAAAGCAAGTCGCTATCGATCAAATATTTTTCAGCTGCAAGATGTTTCCTTTCTAAAACATTAAATTAACTACTATTTAAGAAAGTATCTAAATTCAACTGAAAACTATAGCTTTTTGGTCGAAAGAGAAGTTCAAAAATGTGCTAAAGAATCCCAGGTATTTACGCATCAACAGCAATTCTGAGTACATGGTGACAACCCTGGAGAAAAATGTTAAAAATGTATAATGAAATGGATGACGAAGCTGTTCACGTTGATGTTTACTGTTATTGCATAGTTCAAACATAATATTAATATGGAGATAGTGGTTTCTGTTATACAAAAATCAAGATAACACGTATTTTCATTACTTGAAAAGATTGGATTGAATCGAATATATTTAAAATAAAAAATAAAAAATATTTAAAAGCAGATTTCCATCTGATCATACACGGTATTTCATAAAAAATCGTTAATCTCCACCGGTCACGAGGAATATCTACATTAATTAACTTTGTTAAATACGGCTTTGTGAACGTATGCACAAATAAGACAAGTGGGTAATTTGCATATTGAATACATTGTAGTAAAATTAATATTTTTTTGATTTCCAATGTTCTTGAGGCTGTTCTAATACAAATAAATAATGGGCTTCAATTTGTTTAGTCATTGCTACCAACAAAGGATCAAATGTCGCTTAAGGAGCAGCGCCTACGAAACATAATAGAAATGTCCATTTTATTAATGTGGGAGTTCTTTTGTATCGTTCATTAAAAAGGGCGTCGACTTAGGTAGTTGGTTAAGTAATAAAAACCCAACTTATTCTAAACAGAAGAAGTAGGATAAATTCGAAGCTTACGCGGCGACATGTTTGTAAGCTGACTTTTTGAAGAAAATTAAAATTCAAGTTTTTGAAATGTTTTATTTAAGAAAACGGTTCTAATCGTTGAAATCTAAAAGAAAACTGTTTTGCGTAACTACAAAAAATGGGCGATATACAAACGGGTTTGTCTATGACTGCAGTTGGGATAAAAAATTCTTCAAATCGGGAAGCAACAACTAAAGCTATACGTAATTAAATAATTCGACGATACGGATAGAATGAAATAAGAAAATAGCAAAGGCTCATTACGTTGAGTAAAAGTCACTTACTAGCAGAAAGTAATTCGATATTTTTAACACCTGACTTAGGTGGTTTTAATTCGATTTTTAAAGAATCTAATGAAATTACTTTGAGGTTTATTACTTTTGAGGTGCCGATTTTTGGCAATTCCTTAGCTTCCCTCTTGGAAAGAAACATAGGTATTTGTATATTCTTATTATCTTTTTCTCTTATTCATAACTAAAAAATAGTGTCAAGTGGCAAGACAAAATACACTTGTATAATCCCAAATAAGCAAATAAAGCAAATATATTCTGCATTGGACATTGGACAAATCTTGGAACCCGATATTGTTATAAAAGTGAATCCATATTGAATGCATATTCCTTATTAGAACAAGTTTCACTCTGTTCACTGTGCTGTAAGTGAAAACTTGGTGATAGGTGTATATATTCTAAAGAATTCAACGCTAGTGAGAAAGTGTAATGATAACCTTTTTCGTCTTGACAATTCATTGAACTTATTGACAAAAATGTTAATTTAATTTGATCGATATTCATTAACCGTAACAAACGATTTGTAAAGCGAGCCTCGTTGCTTTTATCCAAGATTTTAGGGAGTGACCCCATTATTTTAATCGTTTTGAACGGATATGACCGATCCTACACCTCGACACATGGGTTAATAAACATCGATCTGAATCACCGAATAATCATCTCATTATCGAAACACAAACAATAGGTGCTGACAGACGTATTGTAATACAGAGCAAGGGGAAAAATATTTGCTATGTCTATAGTTCTAATATCAGCTGCAGACGGACGGCCAATGAGCTGGAATTGACATTAGCTTGATGCTTAAACTTTAAACTTATTATTAATAAATACATAAATGTCGAATTCGCACCATTACATATTCTGAAACTGAATAATTTGGATAATTAAAAAATAAAGTATTAAATAAGGCGAACCTGAGCATGGGAACCGCCAAATCTGAGTATAGGTAGTCTACTTAAATTTAAGAAGCATAAAATTTATTCAAGTCATTACTGAGTATTACCAGCATTAATATTACTGAATCTCCTATTATACTCGTGAACGGTATAGCCGGGTTATACACATTATTTTGATACAAAATTTTTTGCTGCCTTCTCATAAGGATACATAAAAATATAATATATTAACACTATTCAGGATAGTAATAGAATGAACATTTTCAAATTAAATATTGATTATAAAATAAATGATATTTTATATACTTTAACAAAATCAACATGAAAACAAATGGGAAAGATATTAATCAACGTGTAGAACCACGATGGCGGGTCGCAATTCGAGAACAAATACACAAACCCTTGAAATATTCTTTCCCTATTTCAGAGCATTGCTGAACATTCCTTGCATAGAATTAGAACTGCATATAAACTTTCAGATAATTTCCATGGGAGGAGAAAATTATTTTAAATTAATAGGGTCGCACTTTTCGATTTTGAATCCAAACTTGGACACTTTAATGAGCAGCAATTAAAAATGAAATATAATTATCTTAGAAACCGTTCCATTTTCACAACCGCCCAAGCCTTTGGTAGTCAATAAATAATACTGTAATCTATTAATTCTGCAAGTTTTGGAACAACGATCAAGTTTTGTTAAATATGCGATTTATATGTATTCGTTCTTGACAGTTTTACCGACAGAATCAAGAGCTTAAATCTCTAGCTAGTTGTAATTGATCAAATACTGTAGGTAGGTTTTCCTATAAAATCAATAAAATAATGGAATGGTTATAAGGATGTGTACACATTTATAACATAATTTAATACTGATTTTGAGCCATAAAAGCATGGTATGGCTTTGAAAAGGTATGAATGAAATGCCTTTGGATCTGTTAATTTGCATGCTAACCTCAATGATGAGGACTCATAAATTTGAAACCGGTCCTTAGAGTGCTTGCTAGTGACAAAACTGGATTCTATGGACTGGAGTAGCATCTGAATAATGGTTATTTGTACTGCTACTGTGGTGATTATTAAATTAATCACTTAACAATCACACATTTTTAAGACTTGCCGCTTACTAGTCCTATATGTTCTACCTTAAATTGAGAATTGAACGAAACGTGTTAAATAAAGTTAAAATAAAAGATTAAGACAAACGCAAATTTAGTCTCTAAAAAAGAGTAGAAAGACCTTATTGCTTAATCCCCCTTAATATTCTTAATCCCTTTGCAATTTTAATAGGTTATCCCTAATAATAATGCAAAATATTCATAAGATTCACCGAAAACCGCAAAAAACTCGAAACGTCCTGTATAAGACTATGTATGTAGGTATAAATTGATGGGCCAACGTCCCAATATGGAAACTAACAGTGCACTGCGACCATTACCTAATGGAAAAAATTGAATATTATCTCGGTTGTTGGCTTGATCTAGGTGATACCTTTAACTTGAATTATAAAAGACTTGAGCATGCAGTTCCAGCCCAAGATGTAGCGATGGTACAAATTTGATGTGTAGAATTATTGGTAAATCTTGAAAATTCGAAATGCCCCTGCCTACTGATTTTACATTAAACTTATTAATTAGCTAACTTTTGTGAAGGAAGTACCGTACTTTAGCCTCAATTATTTATTAAAGATATGAGAACATTAAGCAGACTATCGCAAATTCATAATGTTATGATAAAAAATATAGAATCAGAAGTATCCATCTACATTTATTTATCACATAAATATGCCTATCAAGTTTCGGTTTACAATGTTCATCCGGGATAATTCCTACGACCTTTTTGCTATTCGCAACATCTCGCTTTGATTTATTTAAATTGTATGTAATTATTTTGATATTTCTCAACCTACCCAGATCGTAGGCATTGTGACCGTTCATTCCTACACACCAAAAAATCCAAAAGCGAAACGGCAGGTGTTCTGAATATTGAACGATCGGCAGGTAATTGTTTCCCAGAGACTAAAAGT